TGTAATAGATTGTATAAATTCTTAATAATAAATATTGATCAACCTAATTTTCTGATTATATAATTTAAATATTAACCAATAAAATATTTTTCTTAAAATTCTATTATAAAACCAAAATTTGTCTATATAGTGAAAAATGATAATTTTAGTATAATAAATTTATTAACCACTTTTATATTAATTTTAATTATAAAATGATAATATTTTAATAAAATTTTTGGAAATCTGAAAAAATTTTCTTAAGTTTAGAATTATATCTGAATTTCTGTTTAAAGTTAAAATAAACAAAATTATAATCTATTGAAACTTATCATAGTTATCAAAAAAAATTTGACTATGCCAAAGTAGGATTAAGGTTTTGCCTCACAGCTTTATAAGTGAAAAATTTTGAAGGTTTACCTATATTTAAAAAAAATAATCAAATTAAAACAAATATACGGTATATAAGAGATTTATCTTTTGGATCATAGATCAACCATATATTTCCATAATTAGTGTATATTATGAAGATCTTTGAATCCCATAATTTCAAAATTTTCACTTTTTAATTTAAATAAAAATAGAATTCATTTGTCTATTCCTCAGTTTGCATTCACTTTTGTGAGTGTTTATACTCCCTCTTGTGGGGGGAGGCGATGTTTATAGGTGACTCTAGCCCCATGTCCTCGGATAGGAGTCGATAGCACCATGTAGACTAGTCTTCCTTTATGAGTGTGTAAACTTTATAAATTAAAGCGGGTGGTGTGATTAGAGGGATTATTGATTAAAATAATAATAAATAAATAATTTTTTATTATGTAAATGTCGTCATATCGTTCATATGAGATTTCGATTAGAAATCTCTTCCGACGAAAGAATTATAAAATAAAAATTACTTAGAGTAGGATCCATCGAAATCCAACGAAATCCGCCGAACTGTCGAACCCGTCGAAACTAACAATATTATTTTCGAAAAGTTAAGGTTTAACCCGCAACCTTAATTTGCTTTTGTATCTATCTGTTTATTTATAGGCTCAAATCGATTAAATATAATGATGGTTCGTTGACAAATGATGCGACTTCATGCTCTTTTCAAGTGCTTTGATATTGACAGATACAACGATAAATAAATAGTTCATAAAACTAGGGATTAATATTAGTAATAAAAACTTATGTGGTAACTGAAAAGAACGAACGATGAATTAGGCATATAAAAAGAACAAACTTGTTAACACCTTTCAGAAACGTAATAGCAGTGATAAATGCAACGTCTATAAAAAAGCTAAGCACGTTGCGTAAGTAATCCTATTATGAGAATATGCCAGGAGATCTTTGTGTTAGTTGTCTTAATATTCGATGATACATCTGCTAATTATTTGGGTTGATACACTTAACAGAACAAAACAAACACAAACCGCGATCTTAGTTAATATGTCTTTAAAATCATATACTTGATTCGTTAGTTATTATAAACAGTCCTGTCTAATTCTCTGATAAAATGAAATCTATTTGTTTAGTTACTATATAAATCTAACTTGTAACAAAAGCTAAATACTGGAAGAGGCAAGCAATTGATAAGAATTCTTTTTATGATTTTTATTTTTTGGTAACATATCGGATTTGGGAAAATCTCATGCGAAAATTTTAAAGAGCAAATAAATTGTTTATTCTGTCGTAATATATATACTCTTTACCTTTATTAATCCTCGAAAGGACAATAAAATAATGTTACTTTTTAAACGAGTACTTTTTTCAACTTTGCAGGATTTCATTTATCTCGATCAATATAAATTGTCAAAAGCTGATCTTTAATGAATGAAGAATCCGCATAATTGTATTAAGATACATTGATCCTATCTCTCATAAATTAAACCATAATATCGATTGTACTTGCCTCAGAAGCAAGATACGTGAACAAGTTATTAATCAAAATTATATTTCACAAAGATTAATATATTAAGTTAGTATTTCGATAATACTGTATGTTCATAAAAAAAAAAAAAAAAAGGTAATAAAGTTGTTACGGATCATATGATTTTGATGTCACGTGATTCGATCGCATTTCAAAGCTTTATTCTTTGTGTTTTAAGAATTACAATTAAATTTACATCAGATATATTAGTCAATCAAACCTACATTTCTTCCTCTCTTTTTTTTTCATCTTGGATATTCACCGTTTTCATCACCAATATAACTTAAAACCAAGTGACAATATCTATCCTCCTATTCTTACCTTTCTTCCTCATCATCCGAATCCATATTTGCACCATCACACGACTCTCCTTATATTCTATCTCTTAATTAAAGTATCTTCTCTTTATGGTCAATATTAGATACAATTTCATAAGTTTCAGGGATAATTCAAGACTAACGCTACATGAAACCATTACAGTATCGGTTTGATGATCAAGGTAAATCTTTTAGAACTGTTATAACCGAATTTCCATTCGATCATGGTACGACGCTAAAACGAATTCAAACGAAATAAACTCGATGAAAAATCAAAATAGTTTAATATTCACAAGGATAGTTCATTGTCGCCAAAAGACCCATCATTTCTAAATTTATGACCTAAAGATTGCATTCTCATCACTCCATTCGACTTTGCCTTTTGGTTTTCTAATTTATCCTTCGAACGATGCTATACGTGTGTGAACTAATTCACTAACTAATTCACTGTCATTCAACATAACCTTCGTGAACTTTTTCAATTAACGACAACCAAGTTTTCATTAGAAGACAAAAAAAAAATTAATAATTTGCAGTGGTACGATAAATAAATTATATCAATATGAAATACTTACGCAAAAACCAATATACTTGCTCGTTACGTGCAACAAAAATCGTTTCGTGATGTAATATTTGTAATGACAGCTAAAGCTGCAAAGTAATTAACAATTCCCACATGCCACCTTGTTGAATATCATAATAATACTTGCCCTGTACCGTCGATAAAAAAATTTATGAGTCGATTAGGCAACACTTTTTCCGATCCACCATTGAAAAAAAATATTCCTATCCAAATTCTTTATCCTAGAAATCTTTGATTAGTTGCATGATATTCTTAAATAGCCTTTGCAACTTTTCCTTTGGATTAGAGATAGAAGCAAGGCGTACAATTTTTCTGTTCAACTCTTGGCTTTCCTTTGTTTACGTTTTTTTTCTCTTGAAATCGTTGACAGTAACTGCTAATTAAGAATCAATAACATAAACGGTCCATTTTTGAAACACAAAGTGATTCTTGAGAAAATTCCTCGTAAGATTTTTTTTTAAAAAAAAAGAAATAGGAAATCGAAAAATCATGTAATTTTGAACTTGATATTATTAAAAGATAATATAAAAAAAAAAAGTGTAAATAAGAGTCATCATGTAAATATTATTTATTTAAGGTATCAAGGGAATGGAGTTATAAATCCGATTACTTTCGGTAAGAATATTAATTCCGATAACTCCGATTCAGGCATTTTCGATGGAATACTATCGTCGATCATCATGATGATCTCGATATTCCTTACAGATTTCCATATTTGAAATCTGTTTCTTTTTTATCGAAAACAAAACGAGATCTTGGATTCAAGTGGATTATTTTTTTCTTTAAATCTCGATCGAAACCAATCAGAAAAGTTATTCATACTTTCATCACGATTTATATGTAAGGTTGACTTCCAATCGGTAAATTACATTACTAAACTTTATAAAGATCGGACAGTCAAACCCGTAAAGAAAGAATCGCTATCATCCTTCCCCAACGTGAATACTTCATACCTTTGGAAAAAGAATGTTTTGCTGTAGAAGTTCGCGAGCGCGGTATAAACTTCGCAATTAATTCAAAAAAATTTTGCCTGACGCAGTAATAAATTAGCCCTCAAACCCTCACTTACCAAAGATGATACAACACAGTTATGACAAGATTAGCAAGATTCAAAAGAGTTTTTAGTAACAAACAATTTACATTAATGGGAATTAAAGGCGCATTGTTCACACGTAATGTGAATGTGGAGAATTACCAATTCTGTTCACATTGTTAAATGTCAAAAGTGTTTACGCGGAGAAAATCGAACTTTTCTGAAATATTCACATGAATGACATGAACTTTGATTTGCATGATCCTTGTCTGTAACTTTTTTTAAAAGGTTCAATTTCCTATTTTGGTTCAAGTATATCGAACAACAAACAATCAAACAATTTCCCTTTTTTGAAAATTAAAGTTTATTTATGTGCGCAGATTCCGCAGCAAATAATTCGACTTATTTACCCGTTATGGTTTCTTTAAATTTTAATCATTATGACACCACCCTCATCAGAATTGCTAAGAATGATGATTAAAAACAAAACAAAACGATCTTTCCATGTACGGAGGGAAAGGTCCTTTTGAAAGTATAAATATATGACATAATAATCCCCGTTAAGGAAACCGTATGTCAAGAAGAAAGTCTCAAGGAATGATTCCGAGAGGAATGTGATTTTCTTTTTCAATCTAAAAAAGTCAATTGCAGAGAAATGTCTCCATGAAAAAAATAATCTCTGAAACTTCCAAGCTTTTCTATTTATCAATAATTATATTTTGGAACAATAGGAATTGTAATACGAAAATCTGTTACATGTTATTATTAGGCGCAGCCATTCCTGCGGTCAATGAGAAAAAACGACATCACATTCATCGGAATTTCGGTCCATTTTACTATTTACGGTTCACTTTGAAAATGATCATTATTAACCCATATAATTTACATATTTATATAGTAAGTAATACCAGTAATACCGCATAATTCAGAATTAATATTTGACATAAAAGACAGAGTTTTCGAAGCCCCTTTCTTCTGATTTACTTGAATTCATTTTTCTCTAGTTGTTGAGAAAATTTTTTTTCAAGAAAAAATTTTATTTATTTATATTAATTTATTTTATTTTTTGTTCTCATTAAATAAAAGATCTTGTTTAAAGTTTAATGTCTTTGTTAATTATTATTTAATATAATCAACAAATAAATAAATTCCGTTAATTTTAAAATTGGTGAACAAATGGATAAATCACAGACCACCCTTTTAAGCTTTCAAACTTGCGAAGTTAGCTCAGTTCAAGGATTTGCTCTTAATCAACCCAACAACATGGACGACTTAAATTCGATTTCCATTAAAAGACCACCTTACCCTCCGTCCATCGATACCGATTATTTGGTGGAGAACCTATTAAAGCGCAAGTCAAAGAACCCAAAAATGCCAAATGAGTTTTTTATTTATCGAGCTGCTTTAGTTAAAGAACTCAAGGCGAACAATTACAAGATTAAAATGACAAATCTATCCACTTTGGCATCAAGATCTTGGAGTCAAGAATCACCTCAAGTTAAATCAGAGTATCGAAAGTTAGCCCGTGAAACAGAAAGTCAATATTTAAAAATACGTTCAATAGAAATGTCAAATACCATAAATAATTCGGGAAAAATCTCTGATCAAAAGAAGAGGATTTCAAAGAAAGTTGTTCCACCTTCCCTTAATTTTATAAGCTCCACTTCGAATCCCACCAAATCAGATTCAATTCATGAACATGATCATTCTAAAGATTCGATAACCGTTTTACCTGACATTGGTGATATCGTTGACGTCACCATGTCTGAAATCAACGACGACGTTACAACAACAATCATGCGATCTACCTTAGGGTATCAACAATATCCTTCCCAAATCTGGCAACAACCTCCTTACGAATACGAATTGTCAAGGAACGATTTTATGTTAATGGAAGATAATTCAATTTTCGGTATGAGAACGGGATATAACGAAAATGAATTATTTTTAATCCCCTCACACCTAGAGAAAAATGATGCGGCGTATCCTTATTTAGATAGTCTATCAACAATTTCATCGGAAAATTCTTCTCCCGTTTCGAATTATTTATCATATCCACCTTCGCCTTTATCGTCTTCGTCCTTACCGATAAGATCGACAAACGCAAACGCAAACACTAACACAAACACAAACGAATTAAATACTGAATCGAATAATTTTTTCGCATCGTCTTCTTCCCCAATCTATGAATTGGGAGATTATAATTTAAACGCTTTAATGATTAACGTTAATAATTTTCCGCAATTTTATGAACAAACGATTGACAATAATGCATTTAATAATTAAGAAACAAAAAAAAAAATTAAGTAATATGGTAAATTATTGGGCAATATAAAAAAAAAATAAGTAATCATCTATGATTAATATTGTAATATAATAATGAACGTAAATTGTATTTATAAGACTGTATCATAAAATACTAATAAAAATAATAATTTTCATAAATTTACTCGCTTAAAACTATTATTAATAAAAAATTTTCGAAGTTTCTCTCACGGTTTTCATAATAAATATAAATAATAAATGATAAATATAAAGATTATTCCGTCAGTAAATTCAAAGACGAAACCTACTCGAAATATGCATTTTGATGAATAAAAAAAAAATGACCTTGTGGTCGCCGAAATAATAAATGGTCTTGCCTAATTTAGCAAATCCGTTATTTATAATTTTAATTTTAAAATGTGTAGATCTTTATTTAATATAACATATATACATGTATATGAAAATATCGGTTTATGTAATGAATTTTTTTATTATATGAAATATTTTTAACATCTAGTGTTGACATAATATATATACAATTTTTTCAGAATTATTGTTCGATATGAAGCAGCCATAGCATTAAAAATATTTAAGGAATTTACACATATCTTAATATTTTATTTAATTTATTTTATTTTTTAAAAAGATTCAAATATAAATGTTATTTTTGACCAAATTAGTATTTTATGTATGTATATATTTATATTAATGTTACTAGCCGTTGAGACAAAAAAAAGCCTTCCGATTCGAAAAAAATAAACTAAAGATCATCATATGATCCGCAACGTAATAACGTAATAGCTGATTTAAATAATTTAAAATGAATCGCGACTCGGTATAAATACATACTCGCATGAATTTTTAATTTAAATAAAATAAAGGATTGATAACAAACGGTTAAAACCTTAAACTTTTAAATGAAATATATATTGAGATTTTCATTTGCTTTTGTAATTTCAGATACCAATGAACTCTAAAAATCTTCTTGGGATGATATTTTTTACTTATCAAATTAGAAGATCAATTACTTAGAATGCTTTATTACTCCGTATTCTTGTAATATTATAAGCAATCCAAAAAAAAGGTAGTTTTATTTCGGAAACGAATTTCTCGATACTTCAACAGCATATAAGGACGAAAATCTGTCATTGTGTGTAATTAATAATCGAAAAGATTATTTTAGTTCCGAATATACAGTGTGGATATTATATTATGCCTTATTAGGATATCATATTTTTTTTTAAAAAAAAAATAAAATCACAAAATGAAAAAAAACTATTTGTTCATATTAACTCATATTTATTTACTTATTCATATTATTCATATCATACTATTCATTTAATTCATGCTTATTCATATTGTATAAAAGAAATCTATTTTAGAATATTAATTTTTTTTTAAGAAAATCAAATGAATTTATCTTATAATCTTTACCCATAAATTTTACTTTAACAAATTCTTTAATTTTATCAATTTCTGAAAGCTCTTCTTTGATCATATCAGAACTATTTCCAAAATAAATTACTCTTAAATGATTATAATGACCCTTAACGTATTCACTTACATGCCTAAAATGAACAAAATTGAATAGCTCCAAAGATTCTATTTGAACATTACACTCGTTTAGGAAATTATCAAAAGTATGAGATGTACAGTTGGAATTGATGAATCCAAGATGTTTTAATGAACTTGGTAAAGAAGTTCCTAAAGATTTCATAATACACTCGCTCGTGAACCGTAGGGTTAATTTTCTCAAGTATCGTAAATTCATTAAAAGTTTATAAAGACCGATATTTTCGTAATCTGATGCCATCAATATTAATTCAATGATATTTGAACAGGAACCAAGTATTGATGCAATTAAATCGGAATCGATCTCATCAATAATCAAACTTTGTAAGGATTGACCGGCCGCTTGTATTATTAAACATTTGATTTCCGTTTTCATATTTCCCACCAAATACAATTTTTTGAGGCGAAATTTTGAATCATCCGCAAAATATTTACAACTTTCTGACGTGATGTTACATGATTCAAATCCAAGTACTTCTAAAGACGCACATCTCGTTAATGAATGGATTGCGTCATCATTTAATGTTAATTTCTTGAGATACAGGTACGTCAAACTGTGAGATTTTGATTTTAACGCGATCATAATATGATTTATAGCCTTCCCTTTAAATTTTAAATATAAACTTTTAAGGTTGCTTTGGGTTTCAATCAATTTACAGAGTGCTTTGGCCATGGCGATTTCACCATCTTCATTTGTGGTTAACTTGTAATTAAAATTGACCGTACGAATATTTTTACACCTGGAAGGAAGCTCTTTCACTAATCTCATAATATTTGGTAATTCGCTTTCGTTAGATGTGAAATCAAACCTTGAGATATTCTCCAACCCGGAATAGGCAAGGAATGTGTAAATATTGGGAATGTCGGAATTAATGCTAACGATCTTTAAATAGATAAGATTTTTACTCTTGCTTATTAATAAAGGATATAATTTGCTTGAAATTATTTGAAGAAGTTGTTGTTGTTCCGTTAAAGAGATATTTTTTATCATGAGCATAATCCAATTACTTATTTTTTCCCTCAAGTGTTCATTACAAAATTCTTCTAGGTATACCGGATAATCAAATAATGGTCTAGTATTTAAACTGACGTTTATGTCGTGAATCTTCATAAAACAATCCTTTTCTACTTCATTCAAACAAGAAAGGTAAGTTGAGATAAGTTTGGATCGTTGACTTTTACTTCTTTCATGTTGCTCTTTATTTAATGGTGTTCTATACAATATAGGTACAACGCATATACACCAATCTCTATTTACTTGTAAACAAGAAAAAAGACTTTTATCATCCTTGTTGTCTTGTAAAATTTCGAAAATATGAGAAACACATTCTTGTGGTAATGATTGAATTGACATATTCCAAAAGTTTTTATTTTTTTTAAAAAAAAAAAATAAAAAATAAAAAAAAAAATAAAATAAAATAAAATAAAAAAAAAGGAAATTTATTAAAACTTACATTTTATAATTTTTTTGTTCTTTTAAAAAGAAACGGTTAAATTTACTTAATAAGTATTAATTAAAAGGTTTGACGTTTTGAATCCGGCATAATCTGCGTTCCAAATTCGGAGGTTCGGATTGATATATCATATTTAGTTTCATTCATTGTTTCCGTATCTCTTTTTATTTCTAATTCCGCGTGCCTTGACATGCAGGTTTCACAAAGATCCTAGTTTAGAACAAAAACTTCATTATCAGTTTACATATTTTAAAATAAAGCATATGACAATCGACTACAATGCAGTGCCACCCAATAAAAAAAAAGTTCATGATCTAGGCTTTAATAGTGTGTAAAATAAAAGTGTATTGGGCCCATTCTAAAGCATCAAAGTATATTACGGGTTCGGAAAAAAACATGATATTACTATTAAAAGAAATGGAAAAGATTACCATTAGAAAATTATGATCTCAATTATGATATTGATCTATTGATTTTATATCACATCGGTAATTATTTTTGCCGAAATTCTAATATAAAAGATTTGGAAATTTGTAAGGAACTACAATATATATATATATTATTTTTCTCTTCCTCCAATCTTTTTTTTTTCTTTTTGACGAGATGCCTTCCAAGTCCATCATTATTCCAGAAATACTTGAAATCATCTTTTCTTATCTGTATTATCCGGTGTTTTATCCTAAATTCTTATTATCTTGCGCATTAGTATCGCGATCTTGGAGTAATCTTGCACTTCCTATTTTATGGAACAAACCTTTTGTTTATGATAGAAGGGGAAATAATCACGTTAAACAAATCCAACAATTTCGAACTTGCCTCTCATTTCTTCCAAATCAATTTTTAAAGCAAGTAGGATTGGAACAATATGTGAATAAATCGTTAAAGATAAATTACAATTATTTATCATTTATAAAAGAACTTTGTCATCTTAAGTTGTATGAAGCCTGTTTAAATTTTTGTAAAGATAAGATTAATGATGATCAAATCATGTGTAGATCAAATCATCCGTCCAAAGCGATCCTACAAACCAAAATCTTACCAATTTTGACCCAACTTTATCATCTCATCATTTTAAAGTATGACGCAAGAATTAAATATTTTGAATTTTCAATTCCGTTCAAAGAAAGTTGCCTCTGCGATTATATTCCCGTAAATTATTTCATATTTTCTCATCACGTTGTTTCCAAATATTTTTTCACCTCATTACGATCATTTAAATGTAATGGAAGATATAACTTTCCTTATGAAAAATTATTTAAAGAAGTAATGAAACATTCTAAAAATATTAAACACATTACGATTGAGAATTTCGAATTAGTTGAAGGAAATTTAGAATCTTTAAAGGATTTAATTATTTCACAGAAAAAGTTGCAGAATATTGAATTGGAATTCCTAATTAAACGTGACTTTTCAGAATTATTTGATGCATTAAATGAAAATCAAAATCTACTTCGCGTCAGGATATCTTTCTGTTCATTTAAAAAGGCTCTTCCAATTAAAATACTATCTTCATGTAAGAATCTAAAAGAATTGAGCATTGAATCAAGTGAAATCGGATATGAAGAATGTCATAAAGATTTTAATCCTTTCGAATCTCTAAAATCATTCAAAATCGTAAAGTCAAAATTACCAAAAGAAATATTTGATTATATATTTTCACCAAATTCTAACTTGGAACAAATTATAATTAAAGAAATGGATTTATTAAATAATTATCCTAATATAATACCATCAATATGTTTAAATTGTCATCAATTAAAAATACTTAAAATGGGATTTACGGAAAAAACTTTTGAAAAACTATTAGAAATTCTAAAATATTGCATTAATCTACAAGAATTAATAATCTATGATGAACTTTGCGAAATTGAAGATATGTATACGTTTAATCTAACAGACATAAATCATTTATCTACGGGTGAAGTATTTAAAAGATTGGGAAAATTGATTTCCCGTAATTTAAAGAAATTACACTTTTCTTCATTTTATCATTGTTTTGAATACGATTTTAAAGAATTTTTAATTAGCTGTAAAATTAATGGATGTTTGGAATATTTGAGTATCAATGTTTGTGGTGATAAATCAAAAATTCTTAGAATGTTGGAAAATTATTCTAAAGGAATTAATAAGGGTTTGATTATCAAGCAATGGGATACAAGAAATTATGATGGAAATAATGAAAGGTTTAATCAGATCATTATTGTAAAATTCAATTAAAGAATTTTTAACCTAAATATACAATCCCCGGCGAAAAATAATGAATTTCCAAATTTGGAATCTCTCTTTGTTTCCAAATTAGGCATTAATTATTAATTTAAAAGAAATATATATATTATTATTTAACGATAAGAATTTTTCTTCTCATTACCTAACCTTTTTACACAAAGGATTTTTTGAATAAAATAATGAATGATTATTAGAAATAATAATTAGTTTATTATACGAAACTTAACAGTATTGTATCAAAGCAAATCAATAAAAATACTAAATTAATTCTTCATATATCAGAAGAATAAATAAATTTGACATTAGTAGCATAATATTTTATTAATTTATAAAATTTTTAATTTACTATAAACCATTAAAAAAAGTTACTTTTATATTTTAATACATTGATATATAATATTTTGTTAAAGTCATTCTTTTTAATAGCTATACAAACGTTTGTTTGTATTTTCATCATTCCAGCCTTCTTCATCTCCTTATTTTCAATTGGGCAAATTTTTCTTGTGATTCAAGTTAAAACGCGTTCATTAAATGTCGATCTCATAAAATTAACCAATAAAAATCGCGTCTTACAGTACAGTACTTATGATCTTTTATTGCTTCAAGAGATATTTGGTTATAAGTTTATTAAAAAATGTTCTTTTTTATATACCAAAAACAATTATTTATTGATAACTCGATTCTTTTTTCTTCTTATTTATCATATCAATAGATACATTCAGAATCGCTTACTTCTTACGAAAAATTCTCAAGCCATGCTACAGAAACGTCATTTGTAAACTGCTTTTTCGAACTTTTTTTTATAGTCTATGCTGTTTTTACTGAAATAATTAATTTATTGAACTTTTGTTTTTAACTCTCGATTTTCACAATTGCAGATATACTGCTAAAATGATTTTAAGTTTTTTCGTCTTAGGTACTGGAAATATGAGGCCTTTGCAATAGAAAGGGGGGAAAACTGCCGGAAAAAATAAAAAATAAGTTAATGCAAAATTTGAACTGAAAATCATATTTGGTATATAAAAAAAAGTAAAATTGATTTTTCCCGGCAGTTTCTCCCTTTCTATTGCAAAGGCCCCATATTTTCCCGGTCACCCTTAGCGACAAAGTTTCTATTAAAGATGATAATATCTCCTTAAAATTTTTAACTGTTGTTTTCCTTAAGAAGTATATCTGGGAACGGGAACATAAAATTCTTAAAGACCTTACTAACGACTCTTCCAGTTTGAATCTTTGGATTGTTAATGTCGATGTAGTTGAAGATGTTTTACTGATTACAAAAACTCATGTTTAGCAACTATTTTAGTAATCAACCTCTAAATGGGGAAAATCCACATCATCGTTTCCATCACTGGTAAGTGTCTCCCAATTTTTTACCTCTCGAACAAATGTAGCTTTTATAAAAGGCTTAAACCTATATTCCAATCTTTTTATTTCACTGCTTTAGCTTTTGACGAAATTAAAAATAAAGATTTGTTACATTGGAAATTTGGCTGTTTTCAAATGACTTTTCGCTCACGTTCAATCTGATTTTTAGTTATAAAAATCTTCCCATACATAAATATTCTTTCAATCGATCAACTTGTTAACGTGCTCTCCTTGACTGAAACGTTGAAAAGTTACTCTTCAAATCCACAAAATGATCCATATGTTAAACTGAAAACCGTACCCTCTTTTTTTAAAATAAATTTGCCCCGTGGCATAATCAAACAAACTCTCACAACGGTTGATCTGTGTATTCCTTACGAATCTGAAACGTGCTATCATAATCCCTTTTATGATGATCCACAATTCAAAGAAACAGTTACTCTTGTGCAAAAAAAGATTGAAGAATAACCGAAGGACATAATTGTGCTCGCTGGGGTTTCATGAGGTGGAAAAACATTGACAATATTTAGAATTGCTATGTAACGTTGGTCAGTTTATATTGATTTTCTCCATTAAGGGCCAATATGGCAACCATTTGGCAGTGGAGCTTGAAGTATACAATCGGAGTTTGACTGTACTGATCAACAAAGTCATGTTTTTTGCATGTTAGACATAGCGGTACTCTCACACGGACTATTACTTATCAAGATGCTTACTGAGGGAAAAATTTCAACACCAAAGGAATGGCTGTTTGTACAGCTTCAAATGAATGATTCTGAATTCCGACAGATCTTAGATCCTAAAGATTATGATACTCTTACTATAATTACACTTATTAACAAGATTAATACATGTCTCAAAATAAATTATCTAACTTTAATATTTGATGAGACGCAAGTTCTATGTAGACCCGAATATGGAAAATACCAAGGGAGTTCAGTTCGTGACAAAAAATGGAATCTTTTGCAGGCTTACATTGCACATCTTACCATACTTCCCCCGTTACCTGCCCTCTTACCGATACTAACATGCATATGGCAAGCGGAATTTCTCTCATCACTAGTGTTGGGAAGTCCCAGATTTGCATGCTCATATTGTGTTAAAGCTTCCATTCCTATCACATGATGATATCCTGCAGAACCTTGATGCGGTAATTGACCTGACAGATTACGCCCGAAATTCGCAACTACTTGGGATATGTTCTCAGGGGACGGCCTCGAAACTGTACTTCATTTGTTCAGCTGTTGATAACAGAGCAAAAATCGAATGATAAAACGAAAGATCAAGTGATACGAGAACATATTCAGTTGTGGTATAAACATATTTGTTCTGACATTTGGAAATTGCGTGTAAATCTTTTAAATCTTTTGGTGCAAATAATTTCAATCCAAAACAGCAATTATGGATGTTCTTAGGCTTCGTGTTTTTTACAATCATTAGTTCAAGGAAGCCATAGAACTTCTTCAGCATAGCATCATTCCTTGTCAGTCACTAGAATGCGTTGTTCTTGGCCCTGATGATACGATCTCTGGGAAAATCGAAATCAACCCATTTCTTGAACCTTACCTCGTTGACAGCATTGGATTATTTCTTAAAAATACAAGAGGAAAAACCATGGTAGATGCCTTTGTTGATAACATTATCCTGCTCAATAACATTTAATCAATTAGCAATGAATTTGATGCAGCCTTTATTACGGAAATCATTCAGAAACACAGACTTAATGTACGAGTAGAGCTTCATAAATGGAAAAATGATCAACAATTTGACCTTCACTCCCACGATGAAGTTTATTACTACTTCCAATCTATCAGGAGGAGTTCCAATAGCCAAATATGTTATGGACATAACCTATTGTTCTTATGCAATTCAACCAGATATATACTCAGGATCAGATGTGGTGGTTTCTTTCATCGATAATGAACAAAATGTGGTGCTATTATCGGCAAGCTGTTCAGTTTCTGGTAGTCCCGTTAAGTGAAATAAAATCAAAGAACAGTTAATCAAGTCATGTATGAGGTTTCAGTATATAGAATGCACAAGAAAGAGGAAAAACGAAGTGGAATTTTCTTATAAAAGATCAAAGCGCCTCCAAATTGGTCTTGATATTTTACCGAATGATTCCAAAGCTAATGAAGAAGACAACCTAGACAACTTAGAAGTAGAGGATGATGAAGAGTATGAGAGATATTTATATTATGATGATATGGATTATGATCTGTACTACACTAAAAACACCAAGAATTACCGGATATCCAAGGTCTCTGAGCGTGCCGAGTATCACGAGCAAATCAAAACTTCTACAAATAATCGAAAACATATTTATGTTTCAGTGTTGATTCCTCATAGATCTAGCAAAAGATCCGGTTCAATAAATATGGTGATCTCGTGATTATTGTGGACGATCGTAATATGGAACACGTTTTCGGACCGGTCATTAAGAAGCTAGTGAAACGTATTAGGTGCGTATCTTTACTCAAGTTTGGCAACAAATGTAAGAATTTTTATTTAAAATGCAAAATTCGATGGCGGCAAGAATCTTAAGATGTTCTTCCAAAGAGATCTTTGCTCCATAAATGTATCTTTTTTTTAAAAAAAAAAAAATTGTGAAAATTACACGGAGAATATTGGTAATTTAAATACTCCATCAGTTCTCTTTTTATTATTTGACAAAACCTTTCGCAAGTAAGAAGAACGGTAATTAAAATAATAAATAATCATATGAACACGAAACTTTTACATATGGAAACTTAAGCATTCAAGCAAAAGTTTGGTAACATATTATTATTATACATTTTATTATATTCCGGATTTATTCAATATATATATATATATATATTTGATTTTACACAAATAAAATAATAGCATTCATTTGATAAAATTGTTCGAAGCGTGAGCAAATGGGCCATTTATTATGATAATAACTATATCGGATAACGGACAGATGAATTTTTAATCATATTATTTAAGGATTGCTGCATAGTGATCGTTTGATTCAAGGTTTTGGTTTTGGCACATTATAAGATTTTCTGTTCCACGTTTCCTGACGTTCTTTTTTCTATTGGTTCTGCATATTTCATTAAGAAATGCTTCGATGTGGATTTCATCTATCAAAAAGCAATTGTTTTGGGAAGATTTATCCAATATAAATCTGCTATCTCAATTGTCGCAATAAGTCGATTCATTAATTTTCATAAACTAAGTAGTTTTTTATAAAATTTCTAAAATTTTACCAGTTAATTTACAAATTTTACAGGAAAATGAAAAATCAAATTTAAATTAAAAAAAACTTATAGTTAAAAGTGTATACTAAATGATGACTTACACACTATCATCATATTGGTGTGATTTGAAAAACTTCATAATCTTCAATAAAAAAGAAATCTTCGGTGTCTCTAATCATTTTTTCATAAGAATTCTTTTTACAGTAACCTCTAACTCCCCCATACGTAATAAGGTCTGAACTAAAAGAAGGACCACAAGTTATATCGTTTAAAGCGTATTCTTTATTCACTACACGACTTAAAATATGATCGTCAATAGCCTTATTATCCTTAAAAGAAAATATAAAACTATCATCATTAGCTCCAAAATTCTCATCGGTAACGCAAAAACTATGGTTATAATTCCATTTAACCGGGTTATATCCTCCAAGAATCTCATCACTACCTTTCAATTTAATAACCAACACGGTACTTGCGTGATTATCACAAATTTCATGAAAGGTCTTAGGCGTGAAACCATCACGAGATCCACGAAGTAATAATTCGACTTCATATGATTTAGTAGATTTCGACCCATAAAAAATTGCTGTAACCAACGAGACATAGATACTTGCAGTGTCCACATGATCGATCAATTTTGTAATTAATTCAATATGTTGATTTGAGATGATTTTGGAATCAAGGGTTGTTGCCTGAACCTTTTCAGTAAATTCGATCATTGGAGATTTGGTCATTTGAGATTCGAGATTAACCTCTTGAGTTATCTGAGAAACTGATAAGATCTCTTGAGTATCATTAGTTACTTGAATTCCCGATTTAATCTCCCAATCCTCTTTAACTATCTGAGGTTCTAAATTAATCTCCCGAGTTTCCTCAGCAACTTGATGTTCGATCACCTGAGTTTCTTTGGTTATCCGAGGTTCCGATTTAATCTCCAGAATTTCTTTGGATTTTGAACTACCATCATTTGAATTTAAATAATATTTAACTAAATCTATATACAATTCTTTTGGCAAAACTTTTTTATAAGGTAATACTTGGTTCAAGAAATCATTAGAAGACAAATTATAGAATTTAATAAATGGAATAAATTTTTGTAAAGAATTCTTCAAAACTTTGAAATCATCTTTTGAATAATCGGAAGGTTCTAAGGGAAGCTCGGGATTTTGAGCAATTCCCCATTTCAAAACATGTTCCCAAATTTGAACATCTTTCATTGAAAGGTTACCACTTCGAATGAGAGAAATAAAAGATTTCTCCGAAATTGAAACAAAATCAAATGATTTAAAGATCTTTTCTGGCTCTTTGGTCATTAAATTAGTGCAAAACGTTTGAAGTTCAACAAATGAATGCTCAACGCATGTTTGATATATCTGATTAAAATTTTCTTCCATCCAATCTGCTTTATTTTCAATCAAAAATGGTTGTAAATGAATGATTAATTCTTGAAGGCCTAGTTTATTGGCAGCAATTAAAATACTAATAATATTTGAAGTATCATATTCTTCTAAAGGAAGTTTCCCTCCATAAATATATCTTTAAAAAAAAAAAAATTATTTTTGTAAATTCGTAAAATTAATAATAATAATAATAAAATATCGTTGATTTAAATTACCTCAATATGATTTGAAAAACTTCGGGATCAATATTTGGTAACTTTATATGTGTCAAAGAACCATCATCTTTCTTTTCATTTGATGACAAAATTCTTCGCAAACAAGGAGAGCGATAGTATAGAATAACGATATGAGCACGAAATATTTTTACATAAGGATCTTCCCCGACTTCAATCGTAACATCATAATACTCATCATCGTCGAGGATATCAAGTAAATTTTGTAATAATTTTGGTAAAAGTTTGTTATCAACCATTTTGCATTTTTTTTATAATAATTTCGATTGGGCAGCGCATTTAATTGCGAATTGTGTTACACATATTACATATCATTGTAGTACAGCAATGATCTTTTAATCAATCTTCGAAAGCAACAAATTATGCCTTTTTCATCACTCAATACTGCGAGAATTTTTTAAAAATTCGTTTCGTTCAATTTCGTGAAGTGAAACAATTTACAATGAATGCTGATTTGCTAATTGAAGTAAAAGACTCTTAAAGCAATGCTCATTACCTTTTCAATTCAGAAAAAACCTGGTATATTTATTTCTTAAAAAGTTATATATTTTTACAAAAAAAAAGAAATTTAAATAATTTGAAATATTTCATACTCTTCCACCGCAAAATAACTATCATTGTCTCTTATCCGTTTTTTATAGTCACAATTTTCACAGTAACTAAAGTAAGTATTTCCAGAAATACAAAGATCCCTTTTGCCAAATGAAGGACCAGAAGCGAACCAATAATTTATAGCATGCGCCCCATTCTTTACACGACTTAGGATATGATTTTCAATAGTTTCCTTACCTTTAAAGGAGAATATGAAGCTCTCTTTAGTATGACCATAGACATCATCTAAAGAAGTCGTAAATTTCCACGCAATAGGGTTATATCCTCCGAGAATTTCGTTACTACCTTCCACCTTAATTAACGTAACAGTACGAGTTTGATCATCGCAAATTTCATGGAATTTGATGGGCGTAAATCCGTCACGAGATCCGCGAAACAATAATTTAAATTTGTACGGATCATCTGTATCTAATTTTTTGATCCATTTCGAAATTAACTTTGCATGTTTTGTTGTGATAATTTTTGAATCCATAATTGTTGTTGAACCGATCTCCCTAATCATTTTAAGTCGACTCAAATTAATTCCCATTTTGTCACTTTGTCTATTATTCATAAATTTTTTCAATAAATCTTTATATAATTCTTCGGGTAAAATCTTCTCATAAGGCGATACTTTATCCAAAAATTCCTTGCAAGACATATTATAAAATCTAATGAACGGAATACAATTTTTTAAGGTATTCCTCAAAGTGTTAAAATCGTCGATTGAATAATTAGAAGGATTTGAAAAAAGCCTGGGATTCCGAGCAATTCCCCATTTCAACACATGTTCCCAAACTTGAACGTTACTCATTGAAAGGTTATCGTCTTGAATAAGTGAGACCAATAACTTTTCAGGAGTTGAGTAGTAATTTGACAAGGTAAATACTTTACCGGGTTCCTTAAAAGCAATTTTAATGCAAAATTTTTGGAGTTCCGAGAGAGAATCATGTTCAAAGCTTGCTTTATATATTAAATCGAAATTTTGTTCCATCCAGGTCGCTTTGTTATTTATCAAAAATGATTGTAAATGATGAATTAATTCACCAAGACCTAATTCATCGACAGCTTCCAGAACCTTGACGATGTCCGATGCATCATATTCTTCTATAGAAAATTGTCCCCCATAAATATATCTACAAATAAAAATAAAAATATATGAATATATATTTCATTTATTCATTTCGCGCGCGCGAAAACCCACATCTTTTCAAAGTTAAGTATTATGTAAAAGTTTACCTTAAAATAACACGAAAAATTTCAGGAGAAATGTTTGGTAATTTAATGTATGCGAAAGTCTCCTCATCATTTTTATCTTTTTTGGTTGATAATTGTTTTTGAAAATATGGGGAACGGTAATACAAAATAACCATATGAGCACGAAATACTTCTATATTGGAATCCTTTCCAACTTCAATAATGATATCATAATATTCATCATCGTCTAATATATCAATTAAACTTTGTGATAACCTTGGTAGAAATTTATTACCAACCATTATAATTGAATGTTGAAAGTTGAAAGTTAAAAAAGAAATGTGAGAAATTTTCTTAAAGATAGTACTAATTTGTAATGATGTTCTTTTATATATCGGGAAATTAACTATCATATGAACGATTCTAGCAGTCAAAAGGTGTTATCTTGTGTGACAACGATTTTAACAGAATAGATCGACTCGTTTTATTTTCTTGTAATCTTCTTGTTTTTGTTTCAATCTGCATTTCTTACGCAATATTAAATTATTATTGAAATGTTAACCTTGATAATAATTATTTCTCAAGGATATTGATAGAACGCGTTTTTCGTTACGGATCATGTGATTTTTACTATTTCACTCGACGACTGATATTTCGATGCATGTTAAATAAATCAACGGAGCATCCGTAATTAACTGATTTATCAATGAGGTACATAATATTGACAGTTTAATTTGTTTAATTTGCACCTCTGAGTTTTATACCGAAAAATTAACGTTAACAAACAATTATCAACATAAAAAAAAACATTTTTTAACGTAAATATATATAAGAGAAAAAAAATTCATTCTGGCTTATTTCCAATAGAGAAAAACTGATCTATTCAAATACCAGAAGTACACAGCCTTAAACCAAAGGCCTCGAATAACAGATTTCCAATAGCATTATCCAGGACATGAAATTATCAATATAATATTTTGAGCAACAGGGATACCAGAAGAGAAGTTTTTAATGTTGTATTCCATTCGTATTTTTTAGAACATTTCCAGAGAAGAGATGTATATTATTAATAAATGTATTTGAAAGACAATAAACCTCTTTTGCTTCTGCAACCATAACAACAGTGATATAATACTCTGAGGAAATTATAATTGTCTGAAAGGATCACTTTAGTTCTGAATTTGTAGAGAAGTCCTTAAAAAAAGTGGGAAAGTTCTTGGTTCAAATGTTTGTACCAACGTTAGCGAGACTAGAAACTTTCTTGCAATTTTTATAGTATTTTACATAATAAAATGGATTACATTCTAACATCAATATGACAAAAAAGTTAAAATGCTACTAAAGTAATTACAACTAAAAAATAATTATTTTATACTTTATTTATTAAGAATAAAAATAAAGATATTAATAACCTATTTAAAGAATATATTTTTTCAGACTTTTGCTATTAAAATAAAAATTTAATAAAATTCATTTGATAAATATGAATTTTTCGTATACAGTCGACCCCTCTAAATCACACCTCTCGGGACCATAAAATGGTGTGATTATACTAAGGGATTTATTATTATAATTACTTATACAGTATGTAAAAATATTATTGGTCTGATTATATATAAAATATTTTAAAATTTTGTTAAGAAAATAAGTATAAATTTAGTTATCTATTAGTATGAATTAAACATAAAACCAAAATTAATCAATATCGCGAAATGGTTGAAATCAACGTCATCAATATCACATAATTATTATATAAAAATCTAAATAAAGAGTACGATCTCGATCTATACCACTCCGTTTCTCATGAAAAAACTACCATTCGAATTCTCCTCAGATTCCCCCGCCTACTCTTCCTTATTAGATTTTTTCCAAGAATTTTTACTTAAAAAATGTGCCTGTTCAATGGTGGCCACAGCTTAGTCTACAAACAAACTAAAAAACCCACCTTTCAAAAATATTTCTCTCTTTGTTTTCCACACCCCTATCCACATAAAATTTTTCAAAATAGTCTAAACAGTGTTGTTTTTTATTAAAATATTTTTTTCTTCACCTCTTTTCGAAAAAAAATTTTCCGTTTTTCTCTTTTCTTTTTGCTTACTAAAAAGTGGGCATCAATGAGGGTATCCTAACTAACGATCATGATTGACATACTTTGGATAAACAAATCTCACGTGATGACACCTTTCCCTTTCTAAACAATATTTCTTTTAATTGGCTTTTGCCAAATGAAGGACCAGAAGCGAACCAATAATTTATAGCATGCGCCCCATTCTTTACACGACTTAGGATATG